TTATACTCAACACACTTTGCTCTTCTGGTATAAGTCAGTATAACAGAAAGAGTCAGACCTTGAAACGTGATCATCATACCTCTGATCTTGTTTCTCTAACCCTCCAAAATGAGGGCTGGGATGTAATTTGAGAGATCTCCTAGTCCAGAGCTTTCACCTAATGCAAGATCACGTTCAGTATACATTAAGGATGCAGATCAAGTTTCCATGAGGTAATGGCCCCATTGCTTGCAAGAAGCAACCATGTCAGCACACTAAAAGAAGATACATTACCCAAAACTTTCATAAAAAGGTATCAGCAACTGTTTCTTTATTAATCCTCAACACTAGATTGTTAGTCATGCCTCAGAGAAATCAAGCTATTTCTTAAGACTGATAAAATGATTGCCCAATTCCCTTTAGTACCTGCTCCAGCAGGCCTTAACAACACAAGACTGACATAGCAGATGCCTTAAATTTCTTTTTGTGCAGCCAAAACTTACATATTGTCTTTCTTTAAAAGGGTACTCTTTATTAGGCTCTTACTCCCACTTTACTCAGACTGTCTCACACAGTTCATCTTTCCTAAGCCTCTTGGTATTCATAATGACATCCTGAGGACTGTAAACTGTGGGCCAAAGAAGGCAGGACACATTATTCTAGTTGATACCTGATCAGTACATCAGCTACAGAAGTAAACATAACCCTTTGATAGACATATTTATGACATTTCCAGCTTAAGAACTTTTTTCCCTTTATCATAACAGCCACAATGCTATCAACACTCTGATCCCCTGGTATCTTTCCTGCAATCTGTTGTCTCTTACTTAATATTTTAAAGGTTGATTTTCTTTGCCCTAAGAAAAACCTTGTTTACTGAATTTCTTCATATTGATTTCTATCTATTATATCCCTCTTCAAAGTATATTTTAAATCATAACCCAATTCTTCAAAAATCTTAAGTATAGTGAAAATTTTACTATATTCTCCCTTTTGTTACTTAATGAATTTATTGTACAGCAATGGAGTTGGGACAGACCGACAGTTGTGTAGGTAGAATCCCACTTCATAGAACCTCCTACTTTCACAGAAAACTTTAAATGTTTCCATTCTCTTTGAAGAACTATTTAAAACTCTTTAAAATGTTTCCATTTTACAATTATTTAATCTTAATTATCTCTACCTACTTGTGAGAACATGGGACAGTAGCAGACCCCTCGCTGAAATGAAACTTATACCTCACTAATCCTCCCTTCCTCACCACACTCCTTATCCACACCTGCTAAAAATTTACTTAAAAGGATAGAAACAGTGTGGACGAAACAAGATGAAAATGTGGAACCTTAGATGTTAATTTTTAATGTTGTATATGATTTTTATTCATCTTTTCCAGGCCTACTGTTTGAGTCAAGCCTCTATAGTTTGTTCTTAGATCTCTTTTATTCTCAAACAGGATAAAGCATCAAAGTTTTCTGGCTTGAAAAACCTCTGTGCACAGGTACTGTAAAAAAAAGGTGACTCGAGGTAAATATGCAAGGGAAATCCTAAGAATGAAGTGATGAGAAGAGACAATGGCAATGCAAGCTCACGACTGACATTACTGCATTCTGGTGAGAAGGATAAAAATAAAGGACCAAATTCTGCTTTTATCTGTACTCATCACCTGGTTGCTTCAGAACAGCTTGTTTCCAACAGAAACCCAAGCAGGCAGAGAAAAAAAGGTAGTAGTTTAATTCCGTGGGTGCTCTTCTAGAACTACAAAATGCTGATAAAACATAAATGCAGGAACAACATGATCCAAGCCCTACAATTCCATTTGGTTGTAGCTTTTCAGCTGTGTTGCTCCATGTCCTGGAGAACAGGACACAAACCAAGGATAAGAATCTTCTGTGATACTGTTGCATCTAATCACCAGAGCATGCAACTGTCCTGAAATCAGCACCTGTCCCAGAGGCAAGAAGATGGCAGAAATATCACAGCAGTAATGCTCAGGGCTGTGTCTGAACTGTCCCATTGTCACATCTCCACCTGTTCTCAGTGTGCTTTTAAGCAGAAAAAGGAAAACTGAATCTCTAAAACCCCATTAACAGGCAGAATGAATGGGAATAGATTAGTGAGGTGAAATAACTAGACCTGAGGAGCCAGTGCCTGTGCTATAGGGATTTCAGAAGGTATCACACTAAACTGGTTCCATTATAATAGCATGGACTGAATGTTCTGGGGCTACTTGTGTGTTTGTTGTATAGTTTAGGTTCATCCTAAGGGAATGCATTTTTGTGCCCTGAGGTCACTCTGTGATGTAAGCCAAAGCTTGGTAATTAGGGAAAACTTGCTTCAAAAGCCTAATATACATGGACATAACATGCTAAAGGGTGCTGAAATCTCTGCATTCATTAGAGGTCTGCCATTCCTTAGCAAAGAACTGTGCTGGTTTTGTTGCCAAGGCCCTCCTCCAACTGTGAACAGGAGACAGACAGTGCCTGAAACATACAATTGAAGCATTCATGGCAGAGAAATGAATTCAGCTGTGTGAAAATTTTGAAAATTGAACAGCATTTTTTTAGGCCATATTTACCTTTACAAAAGGAGTTGATTACACAAATTATTTTTTTAAGCTGCATTACGCTCAGCAGATAAATTGTGCAAAGTATGGAGTACGTTGAGCCCCTGATAGTACTGTGAGTACAATGTTGCAGTCTGTTGTACAACAGAGAGATGGATGCCACTAAATCTAAAGTTTTCTATGCACACTTCAAGTCCAGAAGCAATACAGTGTTTTACCTCAATATTGAATGTATGCTCACAGATCCTTTCAGAGTTTACTTAGTTCTTCACAGGGCCAACACACATATCCCTCCACACTACCCCACAACTGGGTTCACCAGGAAACACAGGGCAGAAATAGCCAGGTAGAGGTAACCCATGTGTCCTAGGCACAGATCAGAGTTTAGCACCTGTTGAGTAGGCAGCAAAGGAAGCATCAATCTCCTCCAAGGGGCTGGGAAGCTAAAGGACCAGGATGCAGTAAGGATCTAGGCTGAAGGGGAAGAGGGGGCAGCCAGAGGGCAACAGGAGGTTGAAGAGCATGTGTCAGGTCTGGGAGGTGAGAACAGAGCTGTGGCTGTGGAAGCCCTAGGTATAGGAGGGTGAGGGACAAGAGATTGTGGTAATGATTAGTGTCTCCTTGCTGTACCCCTTTTGTATTTTTGGAGTACTTTAAATCACTGTGAGCAGCATTTAGGAATAGGGAGAGCTGCCATCACCTGCCAGGTCCTCCTGCAACCTGGAGCACCAGGCAAATGCTGCAGATACCTAACCAGCTCAGCAGCACCAACCTCATGTAGCTTACTTCTTTGTGTGAAACCTGTGCTATTTGGATTTATTTATTTTCAAGATATCCCAGTCCCAAGTCACCTCAGATAAAAGAAAATAATTTTATTTCATCTTTCTAAAGTCTGCACTTACTAGGATTTTTTTCAGAACACAGTAGAACAGATACTTCTTAAGTATCTGCATTGGCTGATTCTTGTACTTAAGAAAATTACCCTACATGGTTTCTTTGCAATGCTCTTGAGAAACGAATATATTCAAATTAAATTATTTGATATGTGATTCTGTCTTTTGGTAATAATTTGCCCTGTAAATCATAATTATGGCACAATGATTACAGGTTTTTTAAATAACATTGTTTTGATTATTCCTCATCTGCATTTGTTTGAAGCTATTTTCATTCAAGTGATCAGAAAGAATGTAATACAAGTGTTCCTGTATTTCTACTATGAACTCAAATAATTCAGGAAAGTTACTTAAATAATAACGTCCATTTATCCTAAAAATTGCTTTTTATTCTTCTTCCTCCTGATCTCAGTCAAGACTGTGGCTTCATCATTCAAGTACAGACCTGTGCAACTCACGCCCTCTGGCTAGAAGCAGCTTGCAGAATGTTTTATCCCGCTCACATCGGAGACACACAAACAGGTTGGTACATTTTAATTAGCTTCTGTGCATAACAAGCTCCTAGGAAGCAACCTGGAGAACACTCTCAAAGCCACACTTCCTCCACCTTCATTCCAGCTGAGGTGAACAGGCAGAGCTACTGGCCCAGGGAACGGAAGGGCTTGATAGGAACCAGGAAAAGCTGAACCACCCTGGCTGGAGCCCAGCCTGGGAGGCACATGGTAAGGGCAAGAAGGCAAGAATCTTGGGGAGCATGGTGTAGGGGCTGCTTTGGCAAACTGAACATAAAATAAAAGGCTGGATGTTGTGCTGGTAGAAGCTGGTATGCCCCTCCTGCTTGTCAAAAGGAATGAGGCAAGGGTGTGGGAACAGGGTGGCATGGCCCATTTCAAACACCTGCAGCTCAACTGGCACAAACCTGGATGATCGCCGTACCACATTCCCTGTAAACTCCTAAGTCCAAGATACAATACTGGCATATTCAAATATCTAATGATTCACCCATTTATTGGGATTCTGCGTGCTGGTTATTTACAAACATGAGGTTTAGTTAAAATTATTTAAAGTAAGTTTTTCTTTCTCCCCCCACGCTCCGGCTTTCTTATTTATTTCTCAGTGCCAGAGAATTCCTGTGTCCGAAGGCTTTGCAGACAGCGAGACAAGCAGCATCAATGCGTGCTTTCTTACAGAAACACCGGATGCCTCCAAAACCACGCTGCGCTAAAACGGGCACAGCTTTTATAGACGCTGATACTCAAAATCCAGTTCACTCTGCCTCCACCAGACCTGCCGCCCCGCGAACAGCCATCTCCTGCCCAGGGCACGCACTCCGCCAGAGCCGGGCCGGGCACAGGTGGAGGTGCGGGAGGTGCGGGGCATCCCCCTGCGGGAACAGGTGGAGCCCCGCGGACCCTCCGGCGGCGGAGGGATGGCCCGGCCGGCTGGGGCCGCATTCACGGCGTGGCTGGGATCCAGCCGCCCAAAGCGGAGCGCTGCGGAGCCGAGATGCGACCCGGGGAGGACCGTCCGCCGCCCGCCCTCCCGGCCCCGGGGCTGCCCCGTACCTTGTAGTGTCGGAAGCCGTGCAGCTGCCGGGCGCTCACATACCGCCGCCGCCACATCGCCGCGCTGCGCCGCGCCGGCACCGAGGCGCGGAGGGATGGGAGCGATGGGAGGACGGATGAGGGAGGCGGCGGGGCCGGGGGCGGGCGGAGGGCGGCTCCCCGGCCGCGCCCCGCGGGCTGGACCTGCCCCCGGCTCCGGGCATCCGCGCCCGGTGCCCGCCGGGCTGGGAGCGGGCGGCTCCCGTGGGAGCAGGCGGCTCCCCGCGGCCCCAGGACGCTCGGCTGCCCGCCTGCCAGCACCGTGTGTTTCACACCCGTAATGACCTCACGTCCCAAGGCACGTCGCAGAATCACCTCCAAGCTGTTTTTCTCGCTAGGGGTCTATTAAAGATGCCGTATTTGCAGAGTATGGGAAGACGCGCCCGCGAAGTCGCTATACTAAACAATGCTGAGTAACAAATGCAAAACATGCCAAGTTAACACTACACAAATAGTATTAAGTACCTCGTTTGAGAAACACGAGACGCTGAGGATTAAGGTTTATCTTTGCATTTCAACAATACTCTAAGTCTTGTATCTTTTTATTGCACCTGCACTGGAGCCTGCCACTCCACATCAGACAGCAGTGCACTCTGCGCCTCCTGATTTCTAGGGGAGTGAGGCACTGGTACAGGCAGAAAACCAACAACAAACAAAAACAAACCCACAAACTGGAAAACATTAGGAGCAATGTTTCAGCTGCAAACGTATTTAAGTATATGGCATGACACCTTGTGTTACCTTCGCTGTACGCTGCTGGGAGAGAGAGTTGAAATTATGCACATCAGGGTCTGAGATTTTATGGACCAAATGGAATCTATCCAGAAAGCAAATCAATTAAAAGCCATTACTTGCACCCCACGAGGCATCTTATGTATTGTGAGAGTCAGTGTTATTTTACAAATTGGGCAGGTTTGATAGGAATTATGTACAAGTTATGATCGTTAAGTGCAAACGGTATGCAATGGTTCTAGTTCTGTATTATTAATTACACATTAATCAATTGAGATGTGCTTACACCTGCATTCTGCTTCCAGCAGCAGCAGCTGAACTTCTGCTCTTGAAAACAACACAGAACTTTAATATTTAGCTTCAGGTTACTGAGTTAAAAGCTTGATACCTGTTAAGAAAGCTAAAGTGTTTGAAGTTTACATTTTTCAAAAGCCAACTCTAAGTTTAATTTGACGAGTATGTGTTCATATCCTGAATTTTGATTTGGGATCCCCTTCATTGTTATTATCATGGTTTTAAATTGTTATGCTATTGATTTAATTTACAAGGGTACATAAGAAAATATTCACAACCTGTACTGAAGTTTTTTAGTGCAAGTAAGTTACTGACACAAGCCAAAGCAATTTAGAATTATCACTTTCACTTCTTAACGCTAACCTTAGAAGCCTCAAATATGGAAGCAGAAATTTGTCTGAACAATTATTCAGAGTATGATGGACAGTAGTAGAAAAAGTGTTTGCTTTTCTGAAAGGTAGAAGGTGGGAAAAAAAATGGTACTTTTTCTCTTTGCAGGCTTCTAGATTTAGGTAAAAAATATATAGATACAGAAGATACATATAGCAGACAGAGAAAACAAGTTTTATTTCCTATTCTCTCAAAACTATTTTGGTGATAAATGAAAGACAAATAAATACTCCACTAAACAGAGACTGTCAAAGACAACCTACATGTGAAAATGCAATTGCTTGAACTCATACTTCAGCATATTCCGTATCTGCTAATGAGCACATCAAAGGAGGCAGCATAAGTTATACTAAAGAGCAGGAAACAGAACTGGTGAATAAGTATGAAATATCACAGAGCAAGCTGAGACACAAGTAGCATGGGGTTTGAGAATACTGTGGAAATTATACTGATGTGCTAGCTGTTGATTTAGGAAGTTTCCTTGATTTAGGTATGATGGTTCATATGAATAGTTGGCCTTTAAGACCACACACACAGACTAGCCAAGCCCAGGTGCAATCTAAGCTCAAGCCATGTGCTTTACTGCTACACCTGATGCTCTCACTGTCTCCATGTATATGTTTAGAGCTTATTCTATTCTATGTTTTTCAATCTGAGGTGATTTAGAGTTCTTCTCTGGGCAATTTTTTGAGCTGTGATCCAAGCTGTTTGTCCTACATTCGGGACTGTGAGAAGAGCAGGGAAAGCAGCCTTAATGCTGCAGCACATTCCATCAATTATTTTCTGGAAGAGGAATAAGCCATAGCCTGAGTAAGGAGGAGCTCTAACTGGCACATGAGTATTATTACTGATTCCATTCCATGAGCTTGAGTGTGGATGAGATGAGCATTAAGACAAAAGGCCAGATCAGAGCACAGTTAACCTTCACTACAGAAAGAGCTCAAGTCTTTTCACAACTGTAGCTGGAGCATCTGCAACAGGTCAGACTTTATTAAGAGACTGATCCAAACATCAGCTCGGGGGAAATAATTCAAGGCCAGATTTGAATTCAGTGAAATCAGCAAGGGAATTCCCAGGTGTTCAGTGCTGTTTGTTAATTATACATAGTAATGAGAAGAAAATAATTATTTATTATATTAGGATGGACCTATTGTACCACTGACAAGAAAAAGTTAAGAAGATAGCTGTTCTGCGGATTCAGATGGTATTTTTATGACAACCAGAAATCAAATATGAAGACAAATTGTATTCTTTATTTACCAAAATGGTAGGCAAATAGATGAGGGCTCAGGAAGGCCCAGAATAAATAATAAATACATTATACACACATACACACACACATATATATAAAGTAAATAATAAATAAATAACCCAATAAATCCTTGGGTCCCTTTCTTTTCTCTCTGTTATGAACTATAATAATAAATTAATAATGATGGAGCTTCTTGAATAGGGAAGACTGCCTAGTATGGCAACTTTGATTTTTAATAATTTACTGTGTCTTGTTTATTCCCCACCTTAAAGCCATGTGCTATGCAATAGCCTTTATCTAGAAGGCATCTAATAGCACATTCCTGCCTACTTCAAGAAGTGAAAAAAAAAGCAGAAAGAGACCAAACCCAAAATGAACAGCTGCCAAAGCAGTAGAAAAAAGAACTAGTGTATTAGCCTACCTACTCTTTAGCACACTACTCTCCCTTGGGCAAGGCATTTTTCAGGGTCAGTATTTATAAAATCTGCAACACAAGGGTACACCACAGTCATGATTAGGCTAAAGTAGTATTAATACTAGACTTAAAGGAGGAAATTCAATATCTGGATTTACTAAACTTTATAAAGTTCAGTGTTATCAGCCCCTCAGTAATTTTAAAATCTTGTTGAATTAAATTAAGAGTGAAAGCTTTCATGGGAGTAAACTGGTCTAATGATTGAAGTTTAAAATATGTCACTTTTTTCCAGCTCTGAATATATACCTGCATTTTTTCTCACCAGCGTGAGCCAAAAGAGAGTACTTTTGTGATAGATGTTCAATTTCAGACTGGAAAATGTTATTTTATTTGCACTAACCTAATTAAACTACAGAGGCATCTTAAAAAAAGTAGGCAAATATATTTCCCAAATGTTACTGTCTGCCAGAAAATTATGCACTCATATTCCTTTTATAGCACTGACACAGAGAAATAGTAGGAGATGACAAAAATGCCAGCCATTGCAAGATGCCATGGGGAGCACTTGGAGCTGGGATGAGCCAGCATAGGCTCAGTGTGCAGCTACTCTGTGCCAGGCAGCAGCCAGGACACTCCAGAGGCTGGAGCCCCTCACTTTGGACCCAGGGGCAAGGGCTGGCAGATTCCTGCGTATGCTGATTCATTTAGAACTTTTATTTTGCTTTTGATTCTTAAATGATCAGCTATTAATTTTTAATTTGTGTGAATGTTAGAAACTGACTCTTTGATTCACTGCAATCTGGCATCCCCTGAGGGGTTTAGTGTTTTTTTTTTTCCCCATTTCTTCCACAGTTTACAGCTTGCCTCAGCATAGTAATGTACTGTACTGTGAAACAGTACAATCTAATTTAAAGTGGAACTGACATTGTAGCTTGAGGATTAAAAAGATTTAAGTGTTTTGTGTTATTTCCTAAAAAAATCATTATAAATACTGGAATGATCAAACTGCAACACAGTCTGCAGAAGAAAATGTTGTTTTGGATCTAGACTGTCTAGCCTAGGCCTTTGGATCACCTCTTGCCTGATAAACTGATAAAAACCTATCTGACCCTGAAAGACAGACTCTAAAATATTTGATGAGTTTTTCCTCACCTATTTCATCCCAGTTCATTGTCTGGGATACTTGTGACTTTTAAAACTTTTCTGAAGAAATTACTCAAACCAAAACTTTATTCTGTGTTTAAATTTGACATTGTCTATATCAGACTTGGTACACTGGAAAGCTTTTAAAGCTCTAACTCAATGCTTGTAAGAGGAGACGAATCCATAGACCCATACTAGAATGAAGGACAGGCACATTTAATTAATATAAACAAGTGCTCCAAACTTCAGTAATTTAAGCTTCCTTACTTTTAAGACCATACACACTGTGTGTGTGTGTGTGTGTGTGTGTGTGTGTGTGCAAAACACTTTTTGTTTCTGTGTAAAACACTTTTTGTTTCTGTGTAAAACACTTTTTGTTTCTTTGAAAGAGTTCTTTCTACACGCGGATTAAGGAACATTGGTGCGATCAACAGCATGTGCTCCTTTTTTTGGATTTCACTAAAGAAATCAATTTTTATTGATAACAAAAATGTTACAGTTTTCATATTCATGCAACAAAAATACAAAAAGTAAACAATTTCTTAATGTTCCCTGAGCAGCAGTAGATTTGATCTTGAGTGCAAATACAGTCAATCAGTATATCAGATAAAACAGTGGGCTCAAACCATTATTTAATCCTGTGAAAACACAGATATGCTTGCACACAGATATGTAGTTGAAAAATCAGTTCTTCAAAAAATAACCAGCTGTGTTAATTATTACTTCCAAAAGATGATGCACAGAAATTTTAACAGACTTGAAGAATAATATAGTGGTATTATGAAATTTCAGCTTTTGTCAAGAAGCTTGGCTTTTATTACTCTTTCTTCATATTATTTCTAATAATGAAATGGATACATTATCTTT